TCTCTCTCTCTCTCTCTCTCTCTCTCTCTCTCTCTCTCTCTCTCTCTCTCTCTCTCTCTCTCTCTCTCTCTCTCTCTCTCTCTCGTGCAGTTCTGTACTCCCTCTTCCCTCGTCTCTCCTACGTCATCTCTCCTCCCTCATCTCTCCTACTTCATCCGTCCTCTATCTTCTTTCTGCATTTTTTAATTTCGAAATCCGATTGGCAGCGAATACCCTCCCCATTTCCCGTGTGCTCCTCCCTTGTCATCAGTGTGGTCCTCCCTCATCCATTCCCCCCCTCGTCCATTCCCTCCCTCCTCCATTCCCTCCCTCCCTTCTCCCTACTCATCATGCTTGTTTCCGTTCTTCACTTCCCCCCTCCCTCGTCTTTCCACCATCCATCGTCAGTCCATCTTCCATGGACTTTTACTGTATTACGGAGAGAGGGGCGCACGACCCGTATCTAATATATCATGGACTCTTACTGTATTACGGAGAGAAAAAAAGAAAAAAAAAATCCACGCATTCCCACGTGCACCGTGCACGCAAGTGCGCGCGGCACGTGCACGCCCCAGCGCACCGGCGCACTGCGCACTGGAGTGCCACACACCGCATCGCGCATAGCGCACTGCGCATCGATGCGCGCATCGCACATGAGTGCGCGCACAGCTGAGGGGCGCATGGCGCATCGCGCACCCCATCAATGCGCTGCAAGTATGATCAGAATTGATCTCCTCCCATCCATGTGGTGCGAAACAGACAAAAACGTTGTAAATGCAACAGTCAAGCAAGTCCTGCATAAACATGTCGACCAACATCGAGTGAGGGAACCTTCCTCCTAAGTCGCAGCCTCCCATCCGTGTGGTGCAAAACAGCGGTCATTCAAGTCCTGCGTAAACATGTCAACCAACAGCAAGTGAGCAAACCTTCCTCCAAAGTCGTGGCCACTGGACAATGCAGTCGTGGAGTTGTTTCACAAAGTGCTGGTTGTGGCTTGGCTGATATGAGAATGCGGATGATGAGTATTGGAGTTCTTGAATTTATTGTGTGGGCTCAAGGTAGGTACCTTGGTGTATGCTTGAAATGCCTTAGAGTTGGAAGTTCCTTCGTTGACATGCTTTTGTCTTTCTTTTCTTTTTTTTGTTGCAGTCCTTCATCTGGAGCCCTTGGTTGGGGCACTTGCTGCTGGAAATGCAGTGGTCATGAAGATGTCAGAGCTCTGTCCTCATGTCTCCTCCCTGATAGTGACATCATTGCCAAAGTATGTAGACCAGTCGGCTGTCAGCATTGTTCAGGGGGGCCCAGCAGTGGGGGAGGCACTTCTCAAACAGCGATGGGATAAGATATTCTTCACAGGTACTGATTGCTTGTGTGGCATTATTATTTTGTTGCTTTTACTGATTGCACAAAGAAAGAAAATGTTGGGCTATCAAAGATACAGATTTTTCCTGGACCTTTGATATGAGCTCATGTCTTCGCCATGAAAAAGCAACGTCCTTTACCCCTAGACGAAAGGGGCCTCAGAATGAGCTTGTATGCGGTGTGCTCTTTCAGGTCCATCGATTTAGGCTTCTTCCCATCTGCTGACTGCTGACTGTGTACACAGCCAGACCAGCGCTGCGAGCTTATTGCTAGGCTGCTGCTGTAAATAAAGGTACTTCAAACACTCTGCCTCATTCAGTACCTTCCTTAAATGTCAAATGTGACGCCGTACCTGGTCGTTTAAATCAGACTTCCATCTTTGTGAAATGAGGAGTTTACTGTGGTCAATGTAGTGAGCTTTGCGGTACCATTCATGCCTTAATGCCTATTGTTGTGGCGCACGTGCGGAGGGCACGTGCGGAGGTGGTGAGAGAGAGAGAGAGAGAGAGAGAGAGAGAGAGAGAGAGAGAGAGAGAGAGAGA